CCCCAAAACCCCAAAACCCCAAAACCCCAAAACCCCGAAATATATTTTCGAAATTGAAACAATTAATTATATTCATAATGGGTAATAAATGATGCTCAGAATATTTAGATTCAGAAGAAACAGAGTAAGACTTATAGTTTATCATACAAGAAACAGGACGATTATGAAGGAATCAGAAAAACTCTCTCCTGATGAGCTTATTGATCACTATGCTAAACATTTACCGCTTGTGGTTAAAATCCAATCAAAAGCTCGGAGTTATATAGGTAATCCAGATCTGAGTGAATTTCTTTTATGTTCATTTTCAAAAGATCTATGATTGATTTCTCAATACTCCACTTATCATTTAAATTTCCCAAAAATCTAAATTAATAACCCCCGCTCTTAACAATTTTCCTATTCGGCTAACTAAAGCCCAACCCCATAGCCCAACGAAAATTCAGGAGCAAGCTTATGGAGTATGTCCAAGATAGAGATCGAAGTAATAGTGAGATCCAACAAAACGTCAGCAGGAACAACACAGACAGCATGAACGTACGTCCCTATCTAAGTCTAGGAGGAAGACAAGAGGCAGGAATACTACACGAATGCCAACCACATAAACCTGCATCATCAAGAGATGGGCCAGGCCGAAGAAGAGAAGATGTATGGTGAGTGCTCAAAAAAATATTAGGGCTCTGCTGGCTGCGATTTTGGGCTAGGAAGAAGAAAGCAGAGGGAAGATAGAGAGTTATAGGGTGCCGGAAGAGGCTTAGGGATGGGGAGATGTGTTTTAGGGGGAGGAGTGGTGGTGTGTAGGTTAAGAGGTAGTCTTGGGGATAGTATGGCTTATAGATGTAATTTATCATTGGATTAATGCCTGAGAAGTTTCACTTTGGATAAATGAAGACTGGAATATTTATCTCCTTTTATTATTTGGTATATGATTGACTAATATGCTAATGAGAAATAGATAACACTTTACAATAAGGCCTCTACTCACTAAACTAAAGACCATCTTTATATTGATATTGGAATTTGAATATAAATTGCATGCACTGTTTAATAAAAGATTGGTCTTCATCAGTGTCTGTTTTCTTCTCAAAGCCCTCAATAAAAAACCTTCTACAAATAATCGTATGAGTTAATGTGATATTTAACATTTTGTTCATGACCGATTTAAGGGCTTTTCCATTCAATTTCATAGTTTCTGGAAATAAAAATTCGAAAATTTTCAACAAATGTTACTAAATTACTCATAAAATGAAGTCTAGTGACTTTTTACTAGTTTCTTTAAACATAATTCCCTAACCCACAAACTATAGCAGGAGGAAAATTCCAGAATAGTTCAAATGATATGGAGTAACCTTACTCTTCTAAAAATCTAGCCAAATGAATCCGGTGCGCTTCACTAGCCAGTATTTGAACTTCTACAAAGGTAATTCTAGAACTCAGCCATAGAATCTTCTACGCTTTCTCACATGAACAACCCTAAGGTGATTGAAGTCTTAAAGTAAGCTTTACAGTCCAAGCTCTAGCAATGTGGATAACTACAGGTATCTGGACTCACAGACCAGCTCTGAGCGGGAAGAACTCATCTCAAGAGAGCCTCTCGAGATGCCAGACGGCTCTATCTACGAAGGCCAGTGGTCTCAAGATAACAAAAGGCATGGCCGAGGCAAATGCATCTGGAAAAACGGTGCAGTCTATGAAGGCAACTGGGAAAATAACTTCCCTGAAGGCCACGGAAGGATCATACATGAAGATGGCGATATGTACGAAGGATTCTGGAGAAAGGGCAAGGCTCATGGCGAAGGAATTTTTATTAAAGAATCAGGTGCGAAATACTTCGGAATTTGGATTAACGACAAACAGAACGGCTACGGAAAGGAGAAATGGACCGACGGAACCAAATTCGAAGGCCTGTATGTCAACGGCAAGAAGGAAGGCTACGGCAAACTCCAGTGGCCAGATGGGTCGATCTACGAAGGCGATTTTAAGAACAACATCATTGATGGCTATGGCAAGCAGAAAACTGCTAATAACTCAGTCTACCAAGGCGAGTGGAAAGATGGCAAAAGAGAAGGCAAAGGTATCTTCAAATGGGCAGATGGAAGGCAGTATGAAGGCGAGTATAAAAATGATAAAAAGAACGGGAAGGGAATCTTCACCTACCCTAACGGCGAGCGATACGAAGGAGAATGGTTCAATGGGAAACAAAACGGTGCTGGAAAATTAGTTAAGTCTGATGGAACTGAGCAAGTAGGAAGGTGGAATATGGGTAATTTTATTCAACAGATACATGTTGAGTATAGTAATTTAGTAGAACACTAAATAATTTTATTGGCTAAATCATAACTGCTGGACTTATTAAAAGGTCATAGTGGTTGACTAAGTTGTAATCTTACCAAGTATTTTCACTATTCTAAAATATTTGAAGCTTTGTGAATATTTTCAATATTCTTAACCTAATTTGGGGTTTTGGGGTTTTGGGGTTTTGGGGTTTTGGGG